CAGTCTTTCCCTGTAGTGGGAACCGAAGCAGCTGACATCATTATCCTCTCCCCCGTATGATCCGCACAACTACCCTATGAGGCATGTTAAGGTTGAAAGTGTGTGAATGGTCCATAATCCCCCAGGCAGCTTTTAAAACATGAACATGGGACCTGCACACCATCCTCTGAAGCACTCTCTGTGGCAGTAATGGGGTGACTGCTGGCACCTTTTCCTATCATTTTTTGCCTTGTGGTATTCTGCTTGTGGTGTGATCTGTCTTCTTTGTGATGTGGCATGATTGGGTTAATGGGTTTGTTTCTTTTGAAGGGGAAGTGATGTGTTGTGAGTGAGGACATATTTTACCTCAGAATACAGTAGGTTCCATATGCAACTGATAATTCCAACTGCCTTGCGGGGGGGGAGTTTGAGGTGTGGAATGGAGTGAAGTCCAATCAGCTTCCATATGCAAAAGACCTTGAAATGCTGGGCGGGACTGCACAAAGCAGCCAGTCAACCCAGCCAGCGTCTTCTGACTGACAGTTCTTGTGGCCAAACACTAAAGGTGTGCATTTGGAACGTTGGAGCCCACTACGGCTTTATATATAAGGGAGAGATAACTGTATTCAGGAGCATGTGAGGGCCACTGTTCACAAAGGGAACCCTTCGTTTATCAACAAGGCCAATAACAAAGAAGGACAGGCAGATGTGGAAGCATTTGGAAGCCATTACAAGTGCTCTGTTCAGGACTGCAGACACAAACACTTGTCAGGAAACGGAAGGATGGGGGAGGAAACCGCACCTCAGAGTCTGACTCTTGACTATCCTTCATCTCTCTACTCCTAAACATCTCATAAAATGTGTGTGTGTTTCCCTCCCACCCAGCAGTTAAAGAGAATTGTGTAATGAGACTTACTATTGCTCAGTGGCGATACATGAAAGAGCCACCCACACATCTATCACTTAATCAAAATTTAAGAGTCAACCATAGCAGCTAGCCCAAAAGTCACACCCTTTGACCTGGAAGCAGTTGTTGAAAGTTCCACAAGTGTGCCAACCAGGTATGGTTTCTCAGTAGTAGGTGGGAACAGTCTTCACAAGGCAAGAACCTTTTTAAATTACTGTTTCCTAAACTAGTGCCCACCAGATTTGGGGGATGGGCCTATTTCCCATCTTGTTTGGTTTCAGTCTATTCACCTTTGCCTTTCTGGATATCAGAGAGCGCTGAAGAGCCCTGCTGGATCAGTGCAGCATGGGTGTTCTCTGTACAACCTCCACCTCCAGCAGCACAGAGAAATGAAAGCCCAGAATTTGCTTACTTTATAGTCTACTGTTTTCATTGACACTCAAGGCAATTGACATACATAATAATGGTACAATCCTACTCAAATGTTTGCTTATTAGCAAATTATTTCATACTAAGGCCCATTGTGGGAAGAAATACAATGAGGTCTAGAAAGAGGCTCCAGGTGAGTGTCCAGGCTGTGGCTGGTGGGGCGGCGGAGGGAAGAGGGAAACAGAGGGAGGCAAGCCATGTTTGTTTCTCTCTGCTTAGCTATAAGGCAGACCAACATACAACAAGTACCGGGCACAGATGATTATAATATATCATAAATAATTTTATATTTTTTGAAAAATATTTTTACAATAATTTCTACATATATAATTAATCATCTTAATCACAATTCACAATATAAGAGATATCAAAAATATCAAATATCATCTCCAAGAATCTCAAAAGCTATTGTACAACCTTATAATTAATAATAGTCCTCCTCTGTTAAATAAAAGTTTCAAAAGAGAGGACTCCTTAAAGTCTCTTTATAACATGTGCTCTGTCTTCCTCCAACAGAGGTCCAGATATCCTTCTGTTTCAGAATCTTCCTCAGGGAGTTCAACAATAATTTTCAGCACAAGGTTGCCAAATACTGGTACTGAGGAAGTATTTCTTTCAAAGCTGGTATACTTAAATAAAAGAGGATTTATTGAAATAATTCATAAATAAGAGGTTATAACAATGTAACTCGGTAATGTGAATATTTTGAACAATTGCTTGGTGTCTCACACAAGATTTGCTCCCTTACTGACAGGGATCTTTCAGGTAACTTTGTAACACTTTAACTCAAGGTCTTATAAGTTCACTGCTTCTCTCCAAGATATCAGGACATACAGCCTTTCCTATAATTTGTCTTCAATTAAACTTTCATTTACTTTTTCCTCTTCTCTGTAACTTCCTTCATACACAGAACTAACTCTTATATCACACACACGACTGCTTCTCTCACAGACCTCAGAACGAACTAACTTTTTTTTTTTGCCGCACCACAGGAGTGAGGTATGAGAACTAACTTAACAACTGTCTTTATCAACTGTCAAACTTGTAACTGTCACTCCTGACAGACATACATATTCATCCACTCAGAACCACTTCCAAAACCCCTCCCCCTCTCTGACAATCACCAATCACA